TTAGAGATAAGTTTTTCAGGGACAACACCCCTCTTCTTCGAATGCATCGGAAGAGGTGGGCTGTAGTCCACGAAAGCTTATGCTCTAATAAATTTGTTAGTCTCTAAGGTGCCACAAGTACTCCTGTTCTTCTTTTTGCGGATACAGACTAACACGGCTGCTACTCTGAAACCAGCGGACACAGTGTACTTAGATTTCCAGAAGGCCCTCACCAAAGGGTCTTATGTAAATTAAGTTGTCATGGAATAAGAGGGAAGATCCTCTCATGGATTGAGAACTGGTTAAAAGACAGAGGACAGAGGGTAGGAATAAATGGTAAATTTTCAGAATGGAGAGGGTGGTGTTCCCCAAGGGTCAGTCCTAGGACCAATCCTATTCAACTTATTCATAAATGATCTGGAGAAAGGGGTCAACAATGAGGGGGCAAAGTTTGCAGATGATACTAAACTGCTCAAGATAGTTAGGACCAAAGCAGACTGTGAAGAACTTCAAAAAGATCTAAAAAAACTAAGTGATTGGGCAATAAAATAACAAATGAAATTTAATGTGGATAAATGTAAAGTAATGCACATTGGAAAAAAATAACCCCAACTATACATACAATATGATGGAGGCTAATTTAGCTACAACTAATCAGGAAAAAGATCTTGGAGTCATCGTGGATAGTTCTCATCCCCAAAAAGATATACTTGCATTAGAATAGGTTCAGAGAAGGGCAACTAAAATGATTAGGGGTTTGTAATGGGTCCCATATGAAGAAAGATATATACTTGTTCCCATAATATAAGAAGTAGGGGCCACCAAATGAAATTAATGGGCAGCAGGTTTAAAACAAATAAAAGGAAGTTCTTCTTCACACAGCGCACAGTCAACCTGTGGAACTCCTTGCTTGAGGAGGTTGTGAATGCTAGGACTATAACAGGGTTTAAAAGAGAACTAGATAAATTCATGGAGGTTAAGTCCATTAATGGATATTAGCCAGAATGGGTAAGGAATGGTGAAGAAGAATTTCCTTTTATTTGTTTTAAACCTGCTGCCCATTAATTTCATTTGTGTAGACATAAATATATATATAAACAAATTGGGATTGTGTTTTTCAGTTGTGCGTCGTCTCGTTAGCAGAGCGTTCCAGGGGTTAACAGAGAGGACTAGCCGGGAGGAATGAGACAAAGTCAAAGAAAATGAAAGTGGGCACTTTAAACCGGGCTTTTACTAAAAGAACCCAAGAGGTTGAGGAGCTCCTGCCTGGGGTGTGGGAAAGAATTCTGAATCGGCACCATGGTAAAGCAGGTGCTTCACTTTAAGCATGTGCTTCTGTTCTAATGTCTGAAGTCTCCTTGTGTACTAATGATCAGTAATAATAAATAAGATTATTTCATGAATAGTGGTAAGGCCTGTGAGGATGGTGAAAGGATTTGCAAACCTGCCCTGTAGTGACAGACTCCAGGAGCTCAGTTGGATTAGCAGAGACAGGGAAGGGGTGACTGGGTCAGTCTATAGGGACTGTGATCATGGGCTCTTGGGTCTAGCAGCCAAAGGGCTGGAAGCGAGACCGTCACACTGGATATCGGCAGGGAGGGTAAATGAACCCGGGACAGCTTCCCCGGGGGCGTGGTGGATTCTCAGCACTGGCCCTTTCCCAATGGAGCCGGGACGTTCTGCTCTCAATGGAGCAGGAGTGAATCCAGGGAGGGCGGGGACCTGATTTCTCTTCTCCCCCCGGCTCCAACACGGGCAGAACAGGCCCTCGCCCTCCCTGGATTAATTCCAACACTCCCCTCTTGCTCCCCCTGCTCTGGCCCCCACAGCCAAACCCCACCCAGCAAGTGCACCCGATGGGGGGCGGGGAAGGGCTGCAGGGCAGAAGGCTCCTGAGCTGTTGTGGGGCGCGGCCCGGGCCCCCCTTACCGAACGTCCTGGCCAGGCACATTGGTCGCTGCTACTTGGGGAGTCTCCCTGTTCCCTTTGGGGGGTGGCTGCTTGTGCCCTGATCAGATCCAGGGCCCTGCCAGCCGGTGGGGAATGGCTTTACTCCGGGGGGAATCTGGAGTGACTCCTGCTCCGCTGGGTATGATTGAGGGGAAGAACAGAACCAGACCAGCCCCAGGCCCCAGCGAGGGCCGCGCCTACCTCCAGCTCGTAGAAGGCCATGAGCACGGCGAAGCTGGCCAGGTGGTTGCACTGGCAGCGGGTGATGGTGGCGTTCAACTTCTGCAGGGTGCAGCCGTTGGTGGCCCAGCGCCTGCTGTCAGGCTCCCAGTAGGCGCAGAGGAGGCGCAGGTTGGTCTTGTTCTCCTGGGGACAGAGAGACACTTGGTGCATGGGGAGGCAGGAGCCGGGTGGGGGGCTGGCTGGGGCCGCATGGGGGGCAGGACTCCCCAGGCCCCGAGAGGGCAGATGGGGGGGATATGAGGGGCTGGGCTGCGCTGGGGGCACAGAGCATCAGTTTGTCCCTGGGTGGGAGGTGGATTCACCTGCTGCCCGGAGTGGGGGCTGTTACTAGAGATGTGCCCAGCTCTCCCCGCAGCGCCCCAGGCTCTCCTCCCCCATGCCCAGCCCAGGGGCTCACCGGCACCGGGTGGCTGAAGCGGATGCTGACGGAGAGGCCGAGTGCCTGGGAGTTCGGGTCACTGATGAAGGCCGACACCACTGGAGACAGCACACGGTAGCTGGGCCGCCCGGGCTCCTGCGCCCGCTTCCCCGTCTGGCCGATCTCGTCCCACTCGGGCGCCTCCACCCGCCCAGCACCGTCCAGGAGGGGGCTCATCCCCTGGTATGTCAGCAGCCCGGCCAGCGTGAAGCCTGCGAGAGACAGAGGAGACGGATGAAATGGGGGCGGAGGGGCCCAGGGGCAGACTGGTGCCAGGGGTGCTGTGCTGCAGGAGGGGCTACCCCCCATGCCCTGGCCTTGTCCCATCCCCCTAAAAACCCCAGCCTGGTGCTAGAGGGTGCTGTACTGCTGGAGGTGTTGGTCCCTATGCCCTGGCCATGCCCCATCCCCATACATACCCCAGCCTGGCACCAGGGGGCACTATGCTGCTGCTCCCAATGCCCTGGCCGTGCCATCGCTATACACACCCCAGCACAGGCGATGATCACATACCTTCATTTTTCTGCCCTGGGGCTCCGGCCCACTTTAATTCCATCTGCGTCTTGCTCTGCTGCAGCGTCACGGTCTCCTGGCTCTGGTTCCCAGCCTGCCTGACCGCCAGCCCCAGCTCTGCAACCACAATGCCGGCCAGGGCTCACAACAGAGACATGGAGAGGAAGCCTGTAGCTAGGCAAGGTGCTTTCCTGGCTGTGGGGGGAGTTCCCAGCTACTCCAGTCCCAGCCTCTCCAAGCAGGGGGCACTGTGGGGAGTGGGGCGGGAGCGTAGGCTGCGGGTGATGAAAGCCCAACTGGGGCCACGTGGCCAGATGCTGACCTGTGCCATTGGGGGATGCGATGCTGATCGTGCTGTCACGCAGGGTCAGGGCCAGCGTTCTCAGCAGCTTCTCCACTATGGCCATCAGCTCCGTCGCGCTCCGGTGTCTCTGCTCCACGCTCTCGCTCTGCTGCCCGACCAGATTTATCTGCTTCTCCAGAATGTCCAAGAAGCCCTGGCCAAGCAAACGTGGGGGGTGTTGGTGCACAGTGCCTGAGCCCCTGCCGCGCCCCCCATTCCTAGATTGCTAGTCCTCCACTGCCTTGCCACAATCCCCCTGAAAGGAAAGACAAGTTCTCCTGCAATTGACATCACTGCCTGGGAGGTCAGACTAGATGATCACAATGGTCCCGTCTAGCCTAGGAACCTAGGAGAGCAGCTTGTTGGGCACAGAGCCCCCTGGAGAGGCAGGCATGGGAATTTCTGGGCAGTGCTGCTGTTTATTTATCTCCTGTTCCAGGCGCTGCATCCCTACAGATCGCCCTGAGACTAGATCCGAGTAGGAGCAGCGATTCCTCCCCCTAACGGGAACAAACCCAGCAAGGCCCCGAATTTTGGCTTGGCACCTGCACCTGCCCCATCACAGACTCAGCGCTCTGAGCCTTCATCTGCTTCAGCTCCTCCAGCGCCGCCTTGCAGAGACGTCCCACCTGTGCTGGGAAGCTGCCCAGGAAGTTCTGCAAAACAAGGCCCAGGCCTGGCTCAGGAAAAGAGATCACAGAATCGCAGCCCACCTCCCCCCGTCCCGAGAGGCTCCCTCGGCTCAGAAGCCAGGCGCCAGAGGGAGCGCGGGCAATGCCCCGTCTGGCCCCTAGGGGGTGCACGGCGTTTGCAAGGGATGGGGGGGGACGGCGGTTGCAAGCTGAAGCGAGTTGCAGCAGCAGCCTGATGCTGCCGATCCTGGAGGGTGAGAATCACCCCGGGGCAAAGGCCTAGGCCGTGGCTGGACTGCAGGGGCTCCAGGGACTGGCCACTGGCTCTTTGCCCAGGGGTGAGTTTGGCCCCAGAATCCTCGTGGGGCGAGATCAGTGAAAAGCAACGTGGCACTAAAGGGGAATCGGGGTCTATCCCGCCCCACCCCGGGGTCTGTGCCCCACTCACCTTGGCTTTGGCAGAGTTGTCATCATCCAGCAGCGGGGGGCAGGTGAGCTCTGGGGATGGAAAGGGAGGAGGAGTGAGAGATGGGTGGGGGAAATGCGGGGTCTGGCTGGGTAGGTGCATGCACCAGAGCCAGGCACCGAGAGCAGGACTCATTCCCTCCAGCAGGGGGCAGCAGCAGCCTCCCCTCACTCCCCCCAGCAGGGACACACCCAGCCCATGTCAGTGATATGGGTGTAATTGATCCTCTCCCAGCAGGGGGAGCAGTGACCCCCCCCACACACACACTCAGCCCCACACATGTGTCCAGCCCCTTCTCCCCATCCTCTGCCCACAAGCTGGTCTCTGTGAAAGGAACCGTCCCCCCTCCCCGTCCTAGGGGAACTGAGCCGCAGTGGGGTGGGGCGGGGGCTGTGGAATCATCCCAGCCGTATCTCCCCTCAACCCTCTCCCCGAGCTGTGCGTGAATTTGGTGTGTGTTGGGGGAGAATCCAGCAGGGAGTCCCGGGCTGGCCCCACAGTGGCCTCTAGGCACAGACTGCGCCCCCTGCTGCCATCTTCCCAGGGCAGAGAATCCAGCCGTGCAGCAGGAATACAGGCACTGCTGGGCAGGGCTGCCAGAGGTTGGGGCAAGTGGAGCAATTTGCCCTGGGCCCCACAGGGGCCCCCAGGAGAATATAGTATTCTATAGTATTGCAAATTTTTTTTATGGAAGGGGCCCCCAAAATTGCTTTGCCCCAGGCCCCCTGAATCCTCTGGGCAGCCCTGCTGCTGGAGGTGGGAGAGATGCCCAGCCCCTGGCTGCCCTGCTCACCCCTTCCCCAGCCTGGCCCCTGCTCCACTCCCAGAGCCAGACCTGGGCACGCTGGTGGCTGTGGCTCTGAGACAACCGGAGACACCCCAGTGGACGGAGAGGCTGGGCTGGGAGGGTGAGAGCCTGGAGTTTAAGCCCTCCCCGGGCCATGGCTGAGACCCAGAGGGACCCCGTCCATGGGGGGCAGGGGAGCTGGTGCAGCGTCCCAGACCAGTTCCCAGCTCGCTGCCCCCTTGGGCAAGACCTCTGCCTGTGTAACCCCAGACCCTCCATGCCCCCAGCAGCAGGACCCACCTTTGCACAGGGTGGTGCTCCCGTTGGAGGGGATGTAGCCGGCCCGGCACTCACACCTGTAGCTCCCGTTGGTGTTGATACACGTGGCGTTGGGGCCGCAGATATCTGGGGTCTTCTTGCACTCGTCGATGTCTGAGAGGGGAAAGCGGTGTGGGGGTGTGTGTCACACACAGCACAGCTCGGGGCGCATGGGGGGCGAATGACCATGGAGGCTCCCCCCACCAATAGCAGGGGGCGTGGTCTGTCGGTCAGTCTGTCTGCTCCATCTAACCCCCCCATTCTATTCTCCTTTCTTCCCTGCTATTTGCAGGGCCCCAATCCCTGCGGCACAACCCCTCCCCCACCCCCAGATCACGGGGCCCAACCTTTTCCAGACCAGGACCCAGCGATCCCCTCCCCGCACCAGCCCTGACAGAGCGGGGTTAAGGCGGGGGCCCCATCAGCCAGTTAAGCTGCAAAGGGGAAGTGACTTAGGCTGCGTGCAGGGCTCTAGCTAGAAGGAAGCTCGCCTGGGAGGGGACAGGTGGGGCTTCTATACATGCGGCCAGGCCCTGCACGGCTGGTAAACGGGTTGTTTGGAAGCCAGCTGGATCCAGGGGATCCCCCTACTCCTAACACTGCGCAGTGAGCAGCGGCCCCAAAATGTCCATTCCCGGACCTTGCTGTGACCCCCAGGGCCAGGGCCCCGCGGGGCGAATCCACCAAGCCCTCGGACAGATGACACCAGCTCGACACTCGCTGCCGATCCGGCCTGTGGAAGCCGAAGCCGGAAGAGACCCGCCCAGCCTGACCCCCAGCATAGCCCCAGCCGGAGTCGCCACCCAGAGGTTCACCAATCCGGCCCCAAACGCAGGGGACTTTACTGCCCTCGCTGCCTCCTGGGGCCTTTCACCGCTGTGGAGAGTCTGATCTGACAGATGGGCCCCGCCCTGCCCGGGCACAGAGAGCCCTGCCGTGATCTAGCCAAACGCTGGAGGGCCCAGTAGCATAGCTAGTGGGGTTCAGGGGAAGCAGCCGCTTCCCCTGACCACATTCCCCAAAAGTGGCGCCTGCAGAACGGGGCCGCGGGCTCCCGGTGCTCCGGCTGGGACTCCGGCCCTGAGAGCGTGGCCGAGGGTCTCGGTGCCCCGGACAGCACTCCGGAAGGGGAAGCGGGGTGGCCCTGCGCATGCGCCGCTCCGTCTTTCTGCGGCATTTCGGCGCATGCGCAGGGCTGCCGAAAAACCACCGAAGGACCGGTGCCTTTTTTCTCCGCCGCTCCTCCTCGGCTGCAACCGTGGCTACGCCACTGGGAGGGCCGTGCACCCGTCAGGCTACCAACGTGGGTAGCGCCAGCTGCCAGGCAAAGGGGGATACACGGGGGATGTCGGGGCTCCATGGTGCAGGGGGGTCACTCACCCCATGCAGGGAATGGGGTTTTCTACCTAGGGACCCGGCCTGTACGTGCAGAGACGCAATCGTTCTGGCCAGCCCCTGAGGAGCCTGCACTCCTGTCTGGGGCAATGAGAGCTGGAGAAGCAGAGCTGGGACGAAAACCCCTTGAAGTCAGTGGTGCTGCACCAATTGACACCACTGGGGCTCTGGCCCCCGCTTTGTGACCATTTCACATACAGCAGCGCTGAGTTGGTGGTGATGCACGGGGGATGGGCGCATCGTCAGTCATTCCCATGACCGAAACACCCGGAAATCCCAGCCAGGAACGAGTGCTGGAATTGGACACTGCTGTGGGAGGGGAAGGGGGGGCGGGAGAGACGCCTGGCCCCTGACAGCCCTGCTCACCCTCCTCCCCGGCATGGACCCTGCTCCGCTCCCAGAGCCAGACCTGGGCACACTGGTGTCTGTGGCTCAGAGACAACCAGAAACACCCCAGTGGATGCACAGGCTGGGCTGGGGGGAGGTGAGAGCCTGAAAGCTGAGCCCCCCCACCCAGGGTTGAGACGCAGAGGGACCCCGTCCATGGGGGGCAAGGGGGCTGGCACCGTCCCAGACCAGTTCCCAGCTCGCTGCCCCCTCGGGCAAGACCTCTGCCTGTGTAGCTCCAGACCCTGCCCAGCTCCCCTGGTGCCCCCTCCATGCCCCCCACGGCAGGACCCACCTTGGCAAAGGGTCATGTTCCCGTCGGAGGGGACGTAGCCGGCCTGGCACTTACACCAGTAGCTTCCGTAGGTGTTGACACATGTGCCGCTGGGGCTGCAGATATCTGGGGTCTTGCGGCACTCGTCGATGTCTGGGAAGGGACAGCGGGGAGAGGGAGGAGGGGGTCACACACAGAAGGGCTGGGGGTGCATTGGGGGCAAATGACCATGGAGGCACCCCCCACCGATTGCAGGGGGCGTGGTCTGTCGGTCAGTCTGTCTGCTCCATATAACCCACCCCCCGTTCAATTCTCCTTTCTTCCCTGCTATTTGCAGTGCCCCAATCCCTGCAGCGCAACCCCTCCCCCACCCCCAGATCGGGGGGCCCAACCTTTTCCAGACCAGGACCCTGCGATCCGCTCCCTGCACCAGCCCTAACAGAGCGGGGTTAAGGGGGGGCCCGATCAGCCTGTTATGCTGCAAAGGGGAAGTGACTTAGGCTGCATGCAGGGGGCTAGCTAGAAGGAAGCTCGCCTGGCAGCGGACAGGTGGGGCTTCTCTACAGCCCGAGGGCTGGGCCCAGTGGTGGGGGCCTGCGGCAGGGTGGGCTAGAAAGGCACGAGTGGGGGCTAGGAGCCCCGGAGGAAGGGTTTCACTAGCAGGCATAGGAGAGAGGGGTCTGACTTTGAAAGGCTCCCCCAGAATGGGGATCAGAGTGTGACCTGGCCGGACGGCCGAGATACGGGGCAGCCGCGACTCCGGGAGCTGCAATGGTGGACGAGAAGAAAGGGGGCGCTGAACTGGAGCTAGTCACCAGAAGGGGGCGCCACACTCAGCATTACAGACCCCAGCCCTATGGGTCCCTCCCCGTTCGGGATACACCCAGCACCGGCCCTCCCATGGAGAACTAGGAGAAGGGTGGGTGGGGCCTGGAGGCTGAGCTCCCCTGAGCCAGGGCTGAGACCCAGAGGGACCCCGTCCATGGGGGGCAGGGGAGCTGGCGCATTATCCCAGACCAGTTCCCAGCTTGCTGCCCCCTCGGGCAAGATCTTTGCCTGTGTAACCCAGACCGTGCTCAGCCCCCCCAGGTGTCCCCTCCATGCCCCCCGCGGCAGGACCCACCTTCGCACAGGGTCGTGTTCCCGTTGGAGGGGACGTATCCGGCCCGGCACTCACACCAGTAGCTCCCGTTGGTGTTGATACACGTGGCGTTGCGGCCGCAGATACCTGGGGTCTTCTTGCACTCGTCGATGTCTGAGAGGGGAAAGCGGGGGGAGGGGCGTGTCACATAGGGTTACCATTCGTCCGGATTCCCCCGGACATGTCCGGCTTTTTTCAGTTAAAAATAGCGTCCGGGGGGAATTTGTCAATGTCCGGACTTCCCCTGCCCCCCATGCAGAGCGTGCGGGGCTTACAGGGCAGCCAGCCGGATGGTGCCACTCGCATGGGCTCCGGCAGCCGGAGCCCTTCCTTCACTTCCCCCTCCTCTCCCCTGCAACTTGACACCACTCCCCTCCTCTCCCTCCCTCCCCCTCCCCCCTGCATTCGCAGATCGCTGGCCATTCGCCTCGGCCTCCGGCCGTCTGGAGCTCCGACCCTGCTGCCCTCCCCCACTGCCGAGCGCGCTGCTCTGCAGCACAGTAAGGGGGCCGGGGGTCAGAGAAGCGGCAGGGAGG